AGTGGCTGTGCACCCGGAAAGCAGTGTGGGGTAAAGGGTCTTGCTCAGAGACCCACAGGGGCAGTCTGTGGGAGTGGGGCTCAGAACCTCAGGATTCCAAACTCTATGCCCTAACCACTAAGCCGCCACTCTCCTTAAAAGACAAGCCTGGTAAATAACTGAAAAGAGGATAAGCACATGTTTTAGTGCAACTAGAAATGGGAAATAAGACAAGAAAACAGCAGAACTGTAGGAAAACTCAATGTTCCTGACCTTCGAAGAACCCAAATAAGGAGAGCCGAAGTTTGTGGGCCAAAAATAAATGCATTAAATGGGCTGGATAAGATTAGAAAACCGGTCTGGTTCCACCTTGAGTAATGAGTAAAGTCGGTGCAATAGTGACAGTTTAGGAGTTGCTCAAGATAAAGAAACATTTCTGCCATGGAGATGGAGGTTAACATTAAGACAATTATTTAAAAATATAACAATGATAATAATAATGAATATTATTTATAGTGTATCTCAAAGTGCTACTAACAAAATCAAATAGCTCATTAAATCAGCCGGAAATGTCTAAAAATGTCTATTCCGTTTAATTGAAATCAGTTAAATTGAATTTTTTCATAGCACAAATTGGCAGTAAATGTAGTTTTTAAATTAAAAAAAACATTGTCAGTTTGATATTAACCTGCATAGTTCACTTCAGACCTATTTATAATGCAACTGCTATAGGTTGAAAAACATTACGCGAAAGGCCCTGGTGGTTGAATGGAGTCGTTGACTCTGCAGCAATCTCTCATCCTAAGTAAGCATGTAGCATCACTAGAGATTAACACTGACCATTTAACAGGAAGAAACATCCAAATGGAACATACTAAGCTTGGAAGTTAAGACAGGAGACAGCAGCACAGAAAGCACTGGTTAAATAATCGTTTCATTGGGAAGCAAGAAGGAAATACAAACAGTTAGCAGCTGCCGAAGCTACACATGGGACTTCTTCTAGCAGAGAGGCAGAGCTAAACAGTAAAAGCTCAATTCAATGGTACTTGGAGGATAAAACTACAAGATTCATTTGGATAACATCTACAATAGTTGCAGATTTCTTTTCAGGGACACCTAATCACTAAGATAAGTAGATGTTCAATGAAGAAATTACACAATATTCAAAGCAATGAAACTTGCAAGTAAGAAAAAAGAAAGTTTTACATTTAGTTTAAAGTAGGTTGCTGACTTTAATTGGCAAAATAAATCCAGAATGGATCATTTTAAAATAAAAAATAAAACAGCATAAGAAAGAAATACAAAGCAATTGAGAGATTTGAGGAAGGTGGGGTCCAGGTGTAACAGAAACGTCCACAGAAAGTGAGGATAGATCATTGGAGGAAACACAGTGGCGGACAGACCCAGCTGGAGAGAAGCGCTAATCTGATAAATGTCTCATTATTCATGGCTGTGATCATGAATCTGTTTGTGCAGGCGCTATGTAGGGATCTGCTTGAAGACAAAAAAATACATTATTCTCACAAAGCGCGTGGCATTTAACAGCCTTCATCTGCCTGGTTTTATACTAAACTCAGAATGTTTTTCCAAATAAATTGACTATCTTTGACAACAGCAAACCAATTGGTCTAAATATATTACCAGTTACTCCAAAAACAGTGGTGAAATCTACAAACAAATAGGGCAGAATATTTTATCGCTATCCTTTGCTAATAGATGTTTGATTATATATTCATAAGGGTGAATATATTTAAGCTAGTGTCCTTTTAGCATAATATTCATCCCTATAATGACTATACTTAACCTGTTATTGATACATATATTTATAGTTGTTACATTAGCAAATTGATTTAACATAATTGCATCAAAAACTCATTTAATTTATCCTGTATATAGGAGCTAAATTTATACCTAAAATGTAATATAATCAAAACCAGGATCACGCTGAGAAGTCAGACACTGAGGTCCATGCAAACACACCCTTGTCATTTCAGTGTGTCTTTCAGCGGGTTGATGGGGCTGATAAACAGGCCGCTCTGCTTGCTCTTTATTAGATTGAACTGCTTTTATCCACCAACACACACTGAAACTAAGTCAGCGCCCATCAATCACTAGGCATGTGCGTCAGAGGTGGAGAGACTGATACTGTTTGAGTTTAGGATGTAGCAGATTGAAGAACCTGACACTGTTGGCCAGTAGAGGGAGCTCTAAGGGGCTGTCTTCTCTATTGAATAAAATACTGTTCTAATGTCATTTAATCCATGTAAAAACTAATGCAAATAAGAAAAAGAAAAAAACGATGTAAGCGTAGTTTAAACGTTGAACTTTTTCTGATGGAGCATTAGCTTACTTATCTCTTCCTACACTTTTGCAGTTTAATTAAGCAACTTATTAGATTTTTCCGTGGGATTTGAGGTGTTAACACTGAAATACTAAAGATGTTTTTATCTTTTATTTAATCTAATTAAATGGAAAACATACTTATTTTTTGTTTTCTTCTTGCTCTTTACAAACACAGTAAATCATACGGCATCATATGTCATAAATCAATATTTTTGAAAGAATACTTCAAATTTTTCTAATCACTCCTGGGTGTGATTACTGTCAGACCTATAAAACCAAGAAATCACTCATGAAAACATGAAGTTAACATGAAGACTAAAAGATCTCTATCTCAGAACTTCAAGCCGGAATCTAAAAAGATTCAAGAAAAGATGAAAAGAAAACAATTAACCTCCATCAGTCTTGATGAGATTTTTGTTTCTAAAACTTTTAAATTCAAACCAACCAAAGCTAGAACCGTTAAATACAAATAGAGATCGTAGGAATCCATGAAAATGTCAGAACTGAGAAAGTTGGACCCACAATTCAAGCAGACCGACCGAAGAGATTTATAAAAAAAAAAACATTTATTAACTGCTCAGGGATCTGTGGCTCGTGAGCTTGGACTGAAATCTCTATAGAGGTAGAAACACGGGTTAGTGACCACATAAATCTGATGGGGAACGATAGCTAATATTAGGGGTGAGTATTGGCAAAGAAGTCATGATTCGATTCGAATCACAATTCACATGCCACGATGCGATTCTATCACGATGCATCAAGATACTTGAAATATTGCAATGCATTGCGATATTTTCCCTGAACACTGTAAGAAAAAGATACAGCCATTACCAGTGGCTGACTGGCTGGGTATTATCTGGATCGTGTCTTCAACTGATACATAACTGAAAGCAACTGAATTCATACATAGCTGTATTTATTGAAACGACT